TGCGTTCGTAGTTTATTAATTTAATTTTAACGATTGTAAACTTCATGTTTCTATACATGTCACATATTCTTACAAAAAATTTCTCCAAATTAAAATAAAATCCATTCATTTTAAGTTTTGTCTAAATGTATAACATAATATTAATACAAGGATAATGCTATAATGTACAAAACCAAAAGAACATATTACCTATACCATGTAAAATAAGTTTGAATACCAAATGAATAATGAATATATTATTTTACGTTTTAGTGTTTCTGATTTCATACTCTGGACAAAAAAGCATTACCCACACGGTTACATTATATGTTGGTACCTATCCTCATTTTATACCAATGTTTTTGTAAATTCTGTAAATTAAAATTGATATCTAGTCTCATATAGTTCAAATTGTTCGATGGTTTCCTTAAAAAAGTTTCAAGCTATCTCAATTCGTCATAACTCATTKGCTAAATATTAATTAGGTAAATACATTTGTTATGAATTAAAACAAAACAATTTAACATTAATTCTTTATTTATACAACTTTTCATAAATTTATTTTGAAAATATTTTTGATATTATTGCTTAAAATTCATTAACCTCRAATTGTCCTCGGATTTTAGTTTTAGAATCGAATGTTTACTAACTATTGGTCGTTTGTACACAGTTAGATATGTTATTTGTATATAGAAGCCTGATATATATTTACACAGYGTATGAACTTGGTTATTTAATTTTATACTGACCCAAATTATAATGTTTCTCAATAATCTTTTAATAAAAATATTCATTCTTACCAGCATTTTTTAAGAAATCCGATATAGAGTTTGTTTTTTCCAACGTTTCAAATGAAGCCAATTGCAATCCAATTGATCTGCAATATTCATATGCCAAAAAGTAATTTAATTCCCCTGAATATGGATTCATCCTGCTGATGTAGTACTGAGTTCCATCTAACTGTATAGTTGTAATCCTTTGACCTAAACATAAAATTAATCACTAAAAAAATCAATTTTTATAAAATATAAT